GAACACACTGATATTATCTAAAACCCAAATCTAAGGCTTCAGGAACAGTCCATCTGTGGACTGTAGGTGAATGTGAAGAGGAATGGAATAGAAAGGAAACCCCAGCCTCTGTCTCCCAAAGCAGAGGAGTAGTAGTAAAGCTGCCTTACCAAACCTATTCAAACCACAACTTTCCAGGGACAACCAGAGAATTCACACATGAATCTCCTAGTTTGGACCCTCATCTTAGATACATCTGCACTTGGTTCCTCTATATTGTTGTTGGGCACCTGCTGCAGAACAGACTTGCTACAGCACAATGAAAAGCAGCTGACCAATAAAGTCCATCCCAGTGGATGGCAGAGTTGACCTGTCCTGTTGCAAAGGGGGTCCTTGGAGCCTTTAAATTCATCAGCTTCAGAACAATCAATTCTTTTTATTCCTTAAAATTGTTACAGAGCTTGTCTGCAAGGGGAAATGGCCCAGGATAGCTATTCTGCACTGTCTCTGTATTTGGCTGCTCTTATAACATGTTATGAGTGCTTTTGTGCAGTTTATTTTCATCTACTTTGCAAGTGGATTAAGCTAAACTGCAAAAAAGGCATAATTCTCAGACTATTCAAGTGGTGGCAGAAATATCCTCACCTTTACCTAACCCCTGTCCTGCCTGCCCTACCAATCAACAGAATGGGTGTAGTGGGCTGGCACAGGGTGTAGGGGGCTAGGGGTAGGGTGAAGGAATTCCTGTTGCTGCTTAAAGGGTTGGGACTCTAGCAGTGACACTACCAGGGGTGAAAGAGCTAATCTTCTTAATTAATCTCCAGGCTCCCCCAGGGTGCTTGAGCGGGGGCAGGGAGGGAGCACAGGGGCTAGCCCCAACGTGCATAGGGCCAGGAGAGCTCTTCTGGCTACAGCAGCAGCTGTCTTCTGGCCCCGTGCACATTATGAGAGGTCCTGATGTGCATGGATCTGGGAGACAGCTGCTGCTACAGAGCTCTCTTGGCCTCGTGAACATGGGGACAAGCCCTGTGCCCAGTGGGGCTTCCCTGCGCAGCCAAGGGGCTGACCAGAGATTTCCACACCCAGCTGGTGGCTGTCTGAGAGCTGCCTTGGAAACAGGTCAGCTCCTAGTGAGCCATCAGCTACGCAGGGAAACAGAGAGCTCCCCAGTCCCTGTGGGGAGCCGGGAGCTGAGCAGTGCTTGGACGGGGAGGGCGGAGAGCTACCCCATCCTGGCACTGCTTGGATCCTGGCTCCTGGGGGGAGCCAGAAGCTGAGCAGTGCCAAGCTTTGGGGAGTTCCCCATCCCCTGTAGCCCTCTGGTGTTGAGACTGACCAGGAGCAAATTTGTGTCTAAACATATGCTACTGCACAGTATCTACTGCACGGTTAGTTTACTTGTTGTATTTACAGGTAGTAGCTAACTGCACAGTAGACAAATTTACTGAATAGTAAATGGTGCTCATGTGTGACACTTTACTGCACAGTAGATTAGTCGACTGCACAGTAAAGCAAGTAAAGCATCTCATGTAGACATGCCCATGGTAGAAAATTTGTCAGTAGCTTCCCTGTTAGGCTAGCTATTAGGACAAGGTGGGCATGTCTGCATAAGACATATTAACGTGCATTAGCCTAATTTAATCCATATTACAGGCACGTGTCTACATGTGTGCATCCTGAATGTGCATGCAAATGCAGGTATCAAAGTTAGGCATAATTAGTTAAAGCGCATTAACACACATGTAGACGTGACCCGGCACTAACTTTAGTCCTGGATCTGCCCAGCCACTAGGAGCACATGGCAGGGCTGCAGGGACTTGGCACTAAATTTAGTGCACTAACTTTAGTGCCAAGTCCCTGCACGTATAGACACCTGCTAAAAACCTGCTAATGCTTAATATGCATTAGCTTAATGCACATTAAATTTAGTTGTGCTTAAATGTACATGTAGACATGCCCAGTATTTCACAAACACACAGCATTGACCTCTTTACCACTAGAATCAGTGGAAAAGTTACCATTGACTTCAGCAGATGCAATATTGGAGCAATTGCATTTTATCTAACCCTAAAATCACAAGCTAATGCCCATGGCTGTCAATGGGCATGCTTTGACTTATTTTGAATATTATTTGAATAAAAAATAGAAAAAAGTTGCAGTAAAAAGTCACAGTGCATATGCATTTACAAATAAGGGCGACTTCATTTTCAGGGGGGCATGTGTAACTAAGCCACTTTGAATTGCAGCTGTATATGGAACTCATCATGATGAAGCATGATAGGTGAGGAATAGGCCTGAGTGGAAATGTCTCTTTTACCTTATGAAAATATTTAAGGTTTTGAATTTTTTTTTCCTAATACAAATTGGGGATAAAAGGTCAAAAGCTCAATTTTTCATGGATTAAGAATCTGGAAGAAAATGATTGAGATCATTCACATAACTGTAAGTTGTTTAAATTTAGATCCTTCTAAATTCCCCCTCTCCCCTCCCCCATATACTATCATACATTTTTAGTTTTAAAATAATTCTGTATCAATAACTGGAATTTTTCATTTTGATGATTTAGTTTTTTTCAAAACTCTTTCAAAGGTAAATTAATGTAATTAAATTAAACAATCTTTTCCCATGTCAACTATTCTAGCAAATCAATGGTTTTCAGCAAAAGAACATTTTGTTGAAAAAATCCCAAGAAGCTTTTCTGAGAAGTCACACATATATTTGTATTTTTTTTTTTCTTTACTTAGAGTGGAAGAGGATTTAGAGAAGATTTTGAAAATCAGTTCCAAACCGAAGCCAAAGGTGCCAGCCAAACCCACATTACCTAAGAAGCCAATAATCACCACTCAGAACAATGTTAGTTCAGTCCCACCAACAAAGCCAAAAGAAGACAAAATTCAAGCCATGAGCGAGGTGGACATTTTCCAGTACATTCAGGAAAATGAATCCATCAGCAACCAAGACATGAGTCTTTTTTGAAGCATTATATATATAATGTATATATACATTATCATGTGTATGTCTGTATGTATGTATGTACGTAAGAGGTAACCAGTACTCTTCCATTGTCGTTACATCTGCCAACTTGTCTTGCTTTGAAGAGCAGCACATTTGATTACTTCACAAGCTCTAAGCATTGAAGAATGTGTGTTTCAACAGGATGAAATTCTGGCTTGAAGCTGCTTTATATATTCAGGGCTTTTAAAAAATATATAGACAACGATGCAACACTTTAGAGTCTATGTATTATAGTCATGTTATCCTTGCACTTATGTAATACAGCTTTAGAGAACTGATTGCTAGAGTGGAAGGGACAGAATGAGGAGTTTACACTCGGAGTGTGAATATAGGCTATGAACAATACGAGGAACGCAGTGCCTTTCTTTCCTTTCTGTAGTTGTATATAAGACATGTTTTAGCCAACTGGAAATGTAGTTCCTTTCTCCTTTGTCTGTTCTTCAGCAGCTTTCCTTCCCTTTCTGTCATTCTGGTGAGTTACAGCCACTTACTGCTTCTGGGGATATGTGAAATTCCTTCTTCCCCCTCTCCCCTTTGTAGTTCAGAAGTGCATTAATTCCCCAGGTGGTTGGACTCTTCAGCCAGTTCTTAAAACCACAGGGACAATCACTTCTACCCCTAGTGTTGATATAGGTACACTGTGGCCACATTTACAAGTGTGCTTTCCTGTGGAGTAGACCAATTACCTATGGAGTAAATTGTTGCCGTCTGCATGTGTGATGCTATTAGGTCTCAGTAAACTAATTAACAGTACCGTAAGATAGTAGTGTTGGAGACAGTAGTGCCTTATGGCAGAGTAATTCATATATATGTGATTCCTCAGGAAAGCTTCTTGGGAATTTTTCAACAAAATAGGACAAAACTGCTACAGAGTTTATTGCTTTGAATTAATTGCACGTGTAGATGCACCCAGTGTTGTCTTTGGTTATTGGCTATTTACAGAGTTCAAATTATGGGGGAGCTCAGGGGGAGGAGGGGGCTGATCCCCCCTGTAAGATTTGAAAATCTTAACGGGGGGGGGGGGGGGGAGCAC